ATTGAGGTTCGATTCCCAGTCAGGGCACATACCTGGGTTGCAGGCCGGTTCCCTGCAGGGGACGCTCAAAAGGCAACATACATTGATGTTTCTCTCCCTCTCTCCTTCCCTTCCCCTCTAAAGATAAATAAATAAAATATTTAAAAAAATAATAAAGTAGCCATGTAAGCAACATTTGAATGCTACACAACATCTCAACTGAAACCAGCAATACTGCTCTTTGTGACTGAAGGTGTGATCTCCTGACCCTAAGAGAAGCCTGTTATTTCTTACTGCTGGCCATGGAACTGACCTGCTGACTGCTACCAACACTTACTGGCAGTATATGAACCTTAGATTTAGATATGCTTATAGTTCGTTCATTCCTTCATTCATTCTTCCTTCCTGCGTTCCATCCTCCCTCCATTAATATTTGTAGTCACAGCTTGGATGATAAAATAGTTACTTCATTTTCCAAACATACCCACTCCACTGGTGTTGTGTTTCACATTCTCCTTCCCTGTAAAGTGCAGAAAAGGCACTACACAACTATTTTAACACACTGAAGAAGTAATTATCTCCCAATACACTGAAGGTGTGAAGACAACTCCCAAAGTGACATATAATTCCATGGATGTTTATGCCCTAGAATAACCTCTATTTTATCTTTCAGTGAAGTATGAAGATATTTTGTTCATTTTAGAATTAGGCAAGTTAGGATTTACCTTTTGATGGTAATAGGGAAAAAATCACAAAGCATTCTCAAAATATCTTAATATTTCAAAGCATTAAAGTGAGACTGACTTACCAAATAATTAGCATCATCCAGGGTATGAAAATTCTTTATTTAAATCAATCCCACCCCAGCTGGTGTGTCTCAGTGGATTGAGGGCCAGCCTGGGAACCAAAAAGTTGCCAGTTCAATTCCCAGTCAGGGCACATGCCTGAGTTGCAGGCCAGGTCCCTAGCTGGGGGCATGAGAGGCAGCAGATTGGTGTATCTCTCACACATCGATGTTTCTTTCCCTCTCTTTCTCCTTCCCTTCCCCTCTCTCTAAAAAATATATATATAATCTTTAAATCAATCTCTGCTCAACAGCAAGGAAATCATTCCATTTTAAAATGGGCGATAACTCAATTTTTTAAAATTTATGTTCATTTAAAGTTTTTAATTAAATTTACTTTTCCAGTTTGTATAGCTCAGAAAAAAATGTTTTTCTGGCTTAATTTAGACTTAATCCAAATACTCAAAGTGTTACAACTGCTAAAGTTTTTATTAAAGTGAGTTTGGTAGTATAGTCTTTAAATTCAAATTATGATGTTAGCACTAGTCATTGAATTAGATTTGTTTTATTCAGTTTGTAAATACAGCAATAACATATTTTTTTCCCCGAGGATGATTGCTAAGCAGATGTTCCCACTTGCTATTTACCTTCTCTTATGCTTTCCATCACAACCTTGCTCCCCTATCTCCCTCCAAAAAAAGTATAGGTAAGAATCAAGACAACTGGACACTCAGTTCCCCCATTTAGAATCTTCAGTATAACATAAAATATGAAATGCCACACCTTTCTTCTTACATAATTGTGGAAGATGGGGAAGTAATGTACTTGGTCAAACACAATTTATGTTGTTTCTGACTGTGAATGATCATTTGTTTTAAAACTTTGTCTCTTCAAATACCTATAACTAGTAGAATATACTTCTAACTGAAAGTCTGCCTTCATTTGAATGGGTATAACAACTTGCAAAGCCAATCCTGTACATTATGTATATACTCGGAGAGGTTATTTCAATTCCAATGTAGCAGAGAAACTAAATGTGCTTTTACATTCTAATCTTTACATCGAATCAAATAAGCACGTGTTAAACTCTGCTGTAACATATTGTTACATAATAAGTTTCCTGTTGGCATCTACAAACACCTCCTAATATCCTGCACAGTGTCGCTAACTATAATTTAGAGCAGTGATTTTCAACATTTTTCATCTCATGGCACACATAATTACTAAAATCCTGCAGCACACCAAAAAATATATATTTTGTCAATCTGACAAAAATAGGTATAATTTTTATTCATTCACACCAAATGGCTATTGTTGTGTTGGCTGCTGTCATTTCTTTATTTGACAATCTAAAGGGAAAAGAGGTCAGTGCCCCTGACTAAACACGCAAGCACTGCATGCGTTAAAAATCCTTGCAGCACACCAGCGTGCTGCTGCACATCAGCTGAAAATCGCTGATTTAGTGTTTAAACCTCTAAATTAGAAGGCACACTTATTAAGGACATACCTGAAAAACAATACAATGTACCAGCCAAAAGACATGCTGAGACCTTTCTCAGCGCAATTTTTTTTCTCTCTTTCCCCTCTATTTCTCCTTTCCAGTGGGTCCTTAACTGAAAGGTGCTCACCTCATACTTTTCAATGCCCTTGATCCAAGCACAGTAGGTGCCAGAAGGCATCTGGGCAATTAACTTATTACATGCCTGAATCTCATACAAAATAACCGAGTGTGGAGAGGCTTATAGTAAACTCAACCCCCAGGGCAAACTGTGTCACACACATAGTGTGTTTTTCAACACCCACAAACACTTATTTTTGAACACCAGTGGTTCTCATTTCATTTTGCCATTTTCCGTAACTGTTTCACAGGCACCAGAAATGAAGATATTTCTACAGCAATATACTGCATGCAAAAAGAGAAACAGTCTACTTTCCCTTTCAAAGAATCTACTGTCAAAAATTTCCTTTTCTGCATTAAGAAAAATAAAATTTAATCAAAATGTATACTAATCATTTTTTATTTTACACATAATTACCATTCTTTAAAAGTTGTAGGGGTGTATTTATTATTTTTCAACTCAGTAACAAAAAGAACTGCAGCCTCAACTAATAAATTACATCTTTAAATATACATGATTGTGCTGTCCCCGTGTTACTTTCAATGGTAACTGACACGCCCCGAATTTAACTGTACCAGACAGTTCTATCTGTCCCATCGCTGACCAAACACTGCTTCTCTGTTTCTATTCATTATGTATTATAAGAGGGCTAAACACAGCCCAGTATGACGAGGAAAAAAATTACAATTCTTATGATAGCAAAGTGATGCATTAAAGATCTCTTTCGCAAAACATCCCTGTCCATGAACATTAACAGACATTTTTTGATAGAGCTGCCAGCTCATTACTTTAAGAGCCTTTCGGCATCCTTTCCTGCAGGTTTTCAGAAACCCCTTAGGGAAAAAAAAAAAAAAACAGGCACAATTCAAACCCTGCAGACCAAACTTGCCAAGAACCTTGTGCAATGATCAATAACCTTGGCTACACTGCCATCGCCCCCAAATTCACGGTCCTGGAGACCAATGCAGCAAAAACCCAGACGAAAGGCAAGCTGAAGCCAAAGAGAACTGCCGCGCTTCCCCTCCGCCGCCCTCTCTGCCGCATGGAGAGAGGCAAGGGGAGGAGAAGAGTCGAGCGAACCTCACCAGCTCCGAAGATGCTCCGGTGACCTCCGGCTGCGCGGCGGGCGCTGGGCCAGGAAGGCGCTAGTGCAGCCGCGCCGGGCCCTGTGGACTATGCCCCTGGTGCATTCCTCACATTCCTGCACGATCTGTCCCTAGCCGAAGAGCCCGTGGCGTGCGTCCCTGCCCCCCGCCCGCACACAGACACCTGCCTATTGCTGCGCCCCGAGCGGCCACGGCAGCCGCGGCGCATCCACTGCCCGCGCTCGCTGTGTGTCGCACTCAGCCAACCAACATGCAGCCAAATCCCGGCCCAGCCGCTCATTCTCTGGCTTCCCCAGTAGGAGAAAAAGGAGAGAGGGTTGGCCAGACAGTCCCAGCGCCGGGAAGGGACACCCGAGCCGCCGGGGGGGGGGGGGGGGGGGACACACGCAGGTCCACTTCAACTCCAGGCGGGGAGAGGAGGAAGCGGCAGGAAGCGGCGGCGCAGAACAGCCAGGGAAGCTCGGACTGGGGAACCAGGAGGGGTTGAGCGTGAGCACAAGCCGCGAGGAGAGAGGGGCGCACTGGACAGAGCAGGGTGGGCAGGACTGGCAGGAGCACGGGACTCTGGGGGCAAAGGCGAGACAGCGCAGGCAGAAGAGATGTGGGAGGAAGGGGAGGGGGCCAGAATGCAAGATCTGAGGCAAACAGATGAAGAGACGGCCTCTAAAGCCGGGAAAGACGGGCGCCTCGGGGTGTTGGGGGCACGGGGCGGCGTGCCAGCCGGGCAGGAGCGGGGAAGCCTCCGGACTGACGTCCAGGAGGGTTCCGCGTGGCGCTCAAGTTCGGGGCTGGGGGCTCTGGACCCGCAAACGCCAGCATTGGGTAAGGGGAGTGAGTGGCGAGTAGGGGAGATCCGAGGAGAGGAATCACCGGGAAAACCAAATGGAAGGTGAAACTTGTGCGCCTGCCGGGGGGAGGGGAGCAGGCAGGCGAGTGCAGGCAGGAACACGAGGCGGGGCAGGAAAGCCGAGGCGGCCGCGAGGCGGTGGGGCCAGAGTAACGGGAGGGAGGCGCCCGCACCCCTCGCAGGCAGGTCCAGAATGGGGCGCGAGGGCGGGGATTCTCGCGGGCAGGAGTCTCCGCGCCCTCCCGCGAGCCCGAGCACTTACTTTCTAGGTTAGGCAGTGGCCGTCGTCGCTCCACGGATGAGAGACATCAGCGTCGAAGGGTCGCCGATGCGGCACCCGAAAAAATTAAAAAAGTGCCGCGGCGGAGCGGCTGCCCGCCCCTCCCTCCCCCACCCGCCCCCTCCCCCGAAGCGGCTCTCCCACCACCCCGGGCGGCGGCGGCGGCCAACTTGCCCCACTACCCCGTGCCCATGGTACTGCCTCCGCAGCCGGTAGCCACAAGATTCAGCCCCGGAGCCCCCTCTACTGCCCAGAGGCCGCCGCCGCCGCCGCCCGCCCGCCCAGCCGCCAGCCCGCCTGCCCAGTCAGCCCCGGACTCCCGGGAACGTCAGCACGCCGCCGTCTCTGGACCTGCTCTCTGCCAACCCAATTGGTCGGGAAAAAAATGATCGCCCTTCTCATTGGTCCGGTCGGTATATTGAACGGGCCAATGGAAACTGCGGTTTCAGGTCGCCATAGAGACCGATGCTGTTAAGTGTGAGAGGGCCTGGAAAAGGTGTGGAGTGAGGGTGAACCAGGTGTCTCTAGCTTTGGGCGCCGGAGGCAATGGGCAGAAGTACAGAGGGATTCCCGGAAGGGGTTCTTTAATCTGGCGCAGTTTTTGCTTCGCCTTCCCGTCAGCTCCAGCTATGAAAGGTAGGGTTTGTCCCCTGGCGTCAAAGACAGGAACAAGTTGAGCCCTTAAGGCTTAAGCGAATACTCGAAGGTGAGAGTCTAGGAGTGGGCGTTTCACTTTTCTTGCTTCTGGGGAGCCCCTGAGTCTATGCCCTTTGACCTTTGACTTGTGTGCAGCTACTGCTTCTCCAGGTGAGTTTCCACCTCATCCCTTAAATCGCTGCTGCTTGACGTCACTGAAACTCCTGAATTCTACTTGTTCATCCCAAACACTCCCCCTTCCCTGGAGCAGATCTTGCCAAATTTTTTTGTGTCTTCAAACTTATAGCCCTACCTAAAGGGTGCTCTAAAAGGATTTCCTTTGGATGATATTTTGGTAAGGAAATGGGCTGAAGTATTGTATAATGGATATCATCAGCTCAACACTTACTATAATGTGTTCCCCACTTCCCAAAGCAAACCTCTAATTTCTCTCTTGAAAGATATTTATTAAACACCCGTCTGTGTGTGCATTCTGGACTTGAGCTTGACAGGTGTTTACTCTTTTCCTTAAGAGGTTGTAGGATAGGAAAAGACAGATGACAGAGTCAAGCCGTGATTCTAATGATTTCACAAGTGAGTGAAGGAATTAGATTACAGTTGGTGGGTTCTGTTCTCCAGGTATTTTCCAGTTTATTTCTAATTTTGATAAAGAACACTGAGCCCTGGAAACAGTAAACACAAAAAGGTTGTTCTGTAATAATAAGCTTTTATTTAAAGTTACTTTGTGTAAGTTTGTCAGTACCAATTTTTTTGTAAATAACTTTCATATTTAGATACTGTGTATGAAAGTGGGACTTCATGAATGTATCAGGCTTTCAAGCATTATGTTGCTTTACCATATAGCCACTGGTATTCTTCGGTTCCTTCTTCTGGTGATTTTGCCATTTTTATACTAACCTATTTAGTAAGAAGACCATGTTTATGTTGCGGCCTCTTAAGTTGGAGGGACTCTATTGTCAGAAAAAAACTAATAGGATTGTGGAAATTATAAATATTTTGTTGAGAGAAACAGATTAATGTGTGCCAGCTACATACATCTAACTAGGGGTCCTGAGTTTTAACTTGAATAATATGCTCTGTTTTCTTACCTTACTGTGTTGGAAGATTATAAACATAGATAGGTAAGAGTTATTAAGGTGGTACCCTGACTGCAAAAATATTTCTCATAATTTGTAGTAAAATTTGAACTTAGTTCACAATTCTGTGCAGAATTGGACTGCAGAACAAAACAACTGAATATGTGAATGTTCCCCCTAAATATTTACTGAATTGGGAAGGAGTCACCAGGGGCCATGGAGAGCTGTCTCCTGCTTTGCCTTCATGGAAATTAGATCATCATGCTTTTTGACTTCTGGCTTTTTGGTTTATTTATAGGAGAACAGAGCAAGTAAAATGCACATTTTATACGATTCACTTTTAATGTATTAACAAAATACCAATCATTTGGTTTTTTTTTAAATAATAATGAAAGAAGGAGGCACCTAATGAAAGGGAAAAGATGATGCTTTGTTGCCTTAGGCTAGCATGGAATGAAGAGAACAAGAACTAATTGATGTTTCTACTTCAATAATCTTTTCTTTTTGTGTTTTTCTGGTCATATGTTTGACGAGTGTTTTGATATTTTATATTTCGTGTTTGTAATTTAAAACATTATTAAAATCCACCAGGAGTAATGTCCCCTAAAATGTTTTCATTCAACATTATTTTTTCTTAATTGTTATACTCACTTGAAAAATTTCTTTTGAACTTGCTCCTGTACCACCAAACATTGCTGGATAAGGTTAAAAAAATTTGTTCACTAAAAATTTATGCTATCTAGCCTTGGCTGGGTTGTCACTGATTCTCTAAATTTCTGTTCTCATCAGTAGGATAATTATGCAGGATGGGCTTATCCTTATTATGCAATTAGGCTTATCTAAAACCTATTCTTCTCCCAAACCTGTCCTTCTCCTACTATCCATAAACCACCAACCACTATACTTGGTCATCTTTCAGTTCTGCAAATTATTTTGCTTCATACTTGATTCAGGCACCCACCATCGGCTTCCTCAACTTAACTTTCCTAAACCTTAGTCTCAGTTTTTTCACGTCATCACTTCCATCATTCCTGACTGAGAAGGGGTATCCACCCTTCTCTTCAAAGCTTATATTCTTCTTGTGCTTCTAAACATGGTCATCCTTACCCCTCCACAATTTTGCTTTACTGATTATACTTTCTCTTAGGTCATATATTACCTCTTTTCCCCTCCTCCCCCCCCATGCTTTAAATATCTGACCTTTTGTAAAAATAACTCCCTTCTATCCCACCTCCATATCCACCTATTGGCATTTTCTTTCACCTTTTGGAGTCTGAAGGGAATTTCTTGAGGCTTCTATTTTTTTTACCTCCAAAGTTCTGACGTTTTGATACAACCAAAATGACTGTGAAGATGGTGCTCTTTCTCCTCAAAATCCTAACTCATTTTGCCAGTAAAGTTCTGTCCTGCAAAATTGCCCTTCTCTTGCAAGCAGTGCTGAAATTCCAGATTTCCAGGGAAGCGTAGAAACCATTTTCTCCCACTCAGAGGGTCCATAGAAATGCAAATAATCTACTTGAGCAGGGGAAGCTTTTACCTGCTGGCTATACCACCTGGGTGGGTTTAACTACTGGGAATAAGTGGGAAGAAGGTCCTAGGGCAAGTTAGAAAGGTTAGAAAGAAGGAGGAGGGGTCTGTGTTCATGCTGACTGGAGCCCAGAGCAAGTCAGAAATGTTGGAAAGAAGGAAGAAATTTGGTGAGCTCCACCCTCAAAAACAAATATAAACAGTATCTAAGTGAACTTTTTAGTTACCAACCCAGAAAGAATGATTATGAAAATTATATAACTTTCCAATGCTTGTTTTCATATTAGCAGAGGCAGCCAGGAAAATGGGGCAGCAGAAGCACTGTCTCTTCTCATTCTATGGCGTGTATAGAGGAGGTGGGGGCAGTGAAGATAATAATTCCAAAAAGTAGTGATCATTGACAGAGAGTTTTGTTTTTACAGAGGAATGTTAAAACATAGGCAAGGTTGCAAATGAAGAAAAATAAGCAGTGAATAAACTGTTCCTGAGAAGGAATGCTAGAGCTTAATAATAGTTACGCTCAGGATTGCAGAGTCGACTCTGCCCTACCTCCAGCTCATTCTCTGAATATGTAAATCCTCCCCATCCTTAGAGGCCCAGACCAATAGTTACCAATAATACTTTTGTGAAAATGTCCTGACCTTACCCCACTCTAGAGGGGATGCTTTAGTATATTATTGTGGCACTTAACACTCTCTACTCCACGGAATACTTATTTGTGTATGAGCCTTCTCCCTAGAGGATAGAATACGCATCATGGTCGTGACTATATTCTTCACAATGCTTTAGATTACTGAAGAACTTCCTACACTAAGGAGAGCTCATATTCATTAATTCTTTCTTTTAGTCCTTGGAAGAATTTGACTTCCAACAATGAAAAATTGGAATCAGTTATACTGGGAGGTAATTAGAAAAAGATGGGACTAGAGGCTCAATGTGGAAAAAGTGAGGTAATGTGTGGCAGAGTAGAGAGGTTTTTGCCATGCAGGCTCATAAGAGGGAAAAGGCCATGGATCTCGTCTCTACCAGAGCTTCTCTGAAACCCTGTATGAAGGAGGGGACCTGTGTGATTCGGATTGGCTGCATGTACTTTGGTTTGAAGTTATATTCATGGCTAAGGCTATAAAATTCTATGTATGGGGGAAAGCAGTTGAAACTCAGCTTTGTCAAGCAGGTTAAATAAGGGGTACCTACATTTTTTCCATTTGAAACATTCAGGTTGCTCTGTGTTTTGGAACACAGTAGAATCATGAGAATTTAACAACTTCATAAAATCAAAAAGGCTTCAACATCTGGTAAGTATAACAGACATGTTTCCAACTATCTATATCTATAGCACTTGAGGTAGGTGGTGCTGCATGCTTCATGATCTTGCATCTTGCCATGGTATCAGCCCTGGTGAGGAGATGATTCAAATGTAGTCACTTCATTGGCTGACCACTGACCCATAACCTGTAACAATGTCAATCAGATTTTTCATCTGGGAATTTGGAATTGAGAGAACAAGTGAGCCATAGAGAACAACTGCCTTGGCCCTATTATTTTCTGGATTGCTATTCTATCCATGAAGCCAGAATATACTTCATTTTTTATTGATCCATAAGATTTCTGTTTCTTATAGTCATCCTTAAGCTATTTTTTTCCTGGTTTGCCTTAGTGAGTCTCTGTTCCCTATAATCAAAGGGTTTCACTAAAGTATAATGGAAATACTTTATAAAAACAAAACAAAACATGTGTAATGGCTATCTTTTTAGATTGTGAAGAGGAACAGTATGAAAAATTCTAACAAGTAAAAACTAGAAAGTGAATGATCTGTCTAGTTCCAAATATTACCAGCCTAAGTTGGGTGAAAGAGCTTTATTTAGCCCCACTCCACAGCATCAGAACCTTGTATTCTTCAACTTTCAGTTCTCCTTTGAAGTTAAGAGCAAGAGAAGAACTTGGAGAAGATTGCTTTTTGATTAGCAATATGGTTGCTTTTTCAGGGTAGAATCATTTTGCCACATCATTGGTTTAGTAAGGATACAATTTATATTTACTTTATGCATTTATAGTAATTTTTTAGGAACCAGGATAAAAAAATTAAAATAGGAGAATTTATCAGAGACATCAGTGATCACTGGACCCACAACTCAGGGAAAACGGATTATGAAGTTTAGGTTCCAGCAATTTAAATAAAGTCTTTCAGGAGGAAAACCAAAGGTTGTCCAAAATTGCTATAATAATATTGTATCTAAAATATTCAATTTCAACAAAAAAATTATGAGACATGCAAAAAAATACTTGAAGGTATAACCCCAATTTAGGAAAATATGTTGTGAGTAGACAAGCTGAATGGATTTGGTTAGATTTAGTTGACAACTAATTCAAAACAGC